TTGTTTTGCTGTCTTTGCATGGAGTTGTTGGCTGTTGTGTGAAATAGGTTGCAGTATTTCACAAACGCATCCTGTAAGAAAAGACAATCTCAAGATCTTTTGGAGAGACCAAATTTGAGACTGTTGTCGAAGTTCTTCCACCTAAAAATGATTGCATCAGCACAACTTCCAGGTGAGAAGTATTAGATCTGACCTTTGACTATTTGGATATTATTTGATTACCTAACCAAGCGCAAACTTTGCAGCAAGGACTTACACCAGCTTTAATTTTAGGCTTTTAACGCTGTCAACCTGGAAAATATTAACTTTTATTTGAGTACACAACAGCGCTGTTCAACTTTCGAAAGCTAGTCCCTCTCTGCTCTAGTAATAATGTATGCTACGAAAATTCCATAAATACTTCTTTTTATACCCTGAACAAGGTATATTATGTTTACCACGATGTTTGTAATACCTCAAAGGAAACGCTATTAAGTATATATATAAAAGAACAGCGTGACAAGCTGAGTCGATTTAGCCATATCCGTCCGTCTGCCCCTCCGTCAGTCAGTATATATGCGAACTAGTCCTTCAGTTTTTGAGATATCGATCTCAAATTTTGCACCCTTTCTTTTCTCCTCAAGAAGCTACAGATTTGTAGGAACGGCCGGTATCGGAGTACTATAGCATATAGCTGCCATACAAACTGAACATTCGGAATGGAGTGCTTGTATGGAAAGCTCTTTTATTGGTCGAGATATCTTCAAGAAATTTGGCATAGATTGATGCCTCAGACAGTTGTGCAACCTCCAAAGAAATTGTTCAAATCGTATCACCATAGCATATAGCTGTCATACAGACTAACCGATCGAAATCAAATGCTTGTATGGAAATTCTATTTCTCGGTTTTGGTCGCTAATGGGAATATAATTTGAAAGATGAGGATTGATGAGCAATAACGCACCTACAAGAACAACTCTATCCATAAAAAAGTTTAGGTGATTGGCGCAGCTAAAAACTCATTGAAATATTTTAGAAGATCAGATCCCAATTTGTTTCAGTCAATAACATATCATACAATATAATTGCGGCGACAACGAACTCGGTACCAAGAGTGAGTGGGTACTATATTTAGAACATCACATATGGATGAGTATGTGATATTTTCAGTATGGGTTAGAACATTGAATATAAAATATAAAATCTCTTAAGTGTAAAGAATAACCTTTCATAATCCGCTATAAAAATACCATATATGACTTCTTCAAGAATTTGTCACTATAACTGCGAATTTTTGATGGACTGAATATTTACGCAGACTGATCGATCCTAGAAGAGAAGTGGAAATCGCGAAGAAAGAAAATCAAATATATACATATGTATATCAAGTCATTGCCGGATGAGCATACCTTCGGTAAAAGCTTCAAATTATAAGCAGAGTAAATAGCGTTTCTATTAAAATACAGCTACAGCCATTAAAATCGCGTATAATATACGCATGTAGACAGTTCACTCAAATAAAGATTTGCTATTTAAAATAGTCTAAGAAATCAACGAATTTATCTAAGCGCTTGGCGAACAACGAGTGTCTTAGGTTTTGGCTCAATTAGTTAATTGCAGTTGAGTGTGTCGAAAAAGGGAGAGAGATAAATTAAAAATAGAGTGTTGTTTTCAAAAATATGAGTGTATTATATTTTGCTCAATTTTTATCTACAAAAAATTGTATGCCCTCCTTAGCTTCTCGACCAGAAAAACTCAATACAGGCAGCAGTACTGGTTCAACAGAGCAAATGATAAGATGACGATAATAAGGTTATACTATTATGACTGAGAATTGTACGAAAATTTTGACGTAATTTTTTTGAAGTCTAAACGGATAGTGAAAATTTGTTTAATGCAGCTTTTTTTCATATTAAAATTTCAATAATATTTATGAGCATCTGATTTTGGATTGTAGTTTAACTTAAGCTATGATTCAGTGTCAAATTTTTGTAATGTCACTTGGGGTATTGTCAACGGCTGATGAAAAAGTTAATCTTAAGTTCGGTTCTAATATTTCTATTCAAATATTTGATAGATTTTTTTAAGCAACACTTTTTTGTAATAAAAATACCAGGTTTTCTTTATAAAACAATTGATTAAGTTATATATATGTATGCGGACTTTTTCTGAAATTATTTTAATATATATTTTTTATAAATATATTTAGAAATCAAACACAGATTTTTGATATTATTTATGCATACAAAATATGTAAATTCAAATTTTTTTCGAAAATTTTATTTCATAAATATTTTTTTCAAATGTTTCGAACAAACCTTTTTTATTTGACACACTGCTCATAAATTTATATTCTGTTTTAAGCGTTGAGGTTTCCGTTGCCTACCACAAATCAAATTAGATTTATGCAGCCAATAAAACGATTCGGAAATTTTATTTAAAACAATATTTCAGAATATTTAAGAATTTTCAAAAAAAAAAAAAAATGCAAATATATGACGGCTCATACTATGTCTTCTTTACGGCGAGATAACATCAAATTAACAATCAATCAAATCTACTGCTGGATAAACAAACAACAAAGCAAAAACATAAACATTTTTTATTAGGAAACTTTTATGAGTCAAAATACCAAATTTTTTAAACAACAACAAAATATTATTTGGTTATTTATTTCTGAGTGTAAGTGCCACTCAAAAAACAATTGATTTTTTTATAACTGAAATTTGGAACAACAAACAGCCGAAATATTAATCAAAGTCGTAAAAAATGTATCATAAACAAATAATTTCCGAGAGATAATAAAAGTGTAGTACCGAATTTCATTGGAAAGAACAGCTGTGCCAAAAAATACTATGGTAGATACAATAGTAGCTCACTGAAGTTTATTATGTAGGTATAAATTTGATAAATCACAGTCTGCAAGAGAAAAATGCTTGCAGTGATGTTACAAAATTTCGCATTGATCAGAGCGGCAATTGGTGCTCAGCCGATCTAACATTTAAATTGAGTAAGATAACTGAGTACATTTTGAGCATAAAAGAATTTGTTGCTCACTCATTTTATCTGCTGCATAATATCTTAAAAAAGAGTGAATACTTATAAATCACATGTACCTCATTATCTCAAAGATAATTAGCTCAAACTAGTAAGCACTCAATGTCAATACTGCTAACTTGGAGATACTGCAACTCAACTCATTTAAGAAAAATTTTCGCTCATCCAAGAAATTCAATTATCCAGATAAATTTTAGATATGAACTAAAATCATTTAACACCACATTATCTAACGCTCACACTGTTCAACCTCTTTACTCTCACACCGCTTCAACTTTACTCCAGTATCGAGGGCTTCCCACATCAGTCATTCATCTTACTCTCCGTACAACTACATCCATTCAACACTACTATAATTTTAAGATCTACACATCACTCTGCTCTAGCATTGAGAGCCTCTCCACACACTCATTTGTTTGGCTATGCAATGAGCGAAAAAAGCAGTCATCTGAACCTATAAAAAAACTCGTCCAACCGGTAGGACTTGTGTCAATGCCTTCTACCATTGATTGCATTTCGCTGCACTGCATACTCGTACTATTGTTGTTGTTTAAGTTATTGTTGTTGCAGTTGACGCTGCTGGTTAAGGCATGTTTTATGGTGTTTTCTACAGATTTTGCTTTTATTTTGTGTTACTTTGTTAATGTCTATGTAATTCTAATGCATAGCTACATGAAGATCGCTCATTTCCGTTGCGCTTAGAAGCTGCGCTCAACGCGCTCACCTTGTTGTTGCATATTGTTGTTGGAGCTGAGTTCGGTCTGCCTGCGCATTGAGTACGCGCTCTATATTTTATTCAATTAAGTGTATTCATTTTGATCCAATCGTAATTAATGCTGATGTGGTTGGGCGTGAGATGTATTGCTTTGAAAATTTTGAAGAGGTTGACTAATTCTGATTACTAATATTTATGTCACATAGCTGAATAATCATGAGTGGCATCACCATGATTTTAGGTACCGGCTCAACTTCCCAAATCTCATTCTTAGTTCTACAAATCTTCTGTGTTTCACATATTTATCAAAAAAAGCATGAAAAATATGCTGGCAATAATTGGAGGTCTATAAAAACCTATACGGTTATAGAATAAAAGTTTTAGTTCAAAGAGCCAATAACTTGAGATTCTGTGAGAAAATTTAAAAAAATATATATAATATGTAGACCTGTAAAGTATATAAGTTTAGATTAATTAAGAGAAGATTAATTTTATTACAGAGCCTTTGGGAGTGGTCGCTTTTGCTCGCAGTGAACCCGAAAATCGTATTTTTTTTTAACATATAAAATGTAAGTAAATTTAGTACGAAAAACATAAAAAGTGCATAGCGGAGCTGCTTCAGTGACAACTAACATTTATCTTATCCGGTAAGCTAGCGTTTATCTGCAAAACTGAGAGTTATCTTGTGCATTTCTATGAAATACGCGTCTCCTGGCTGCACCAGACAACATCCAACTATAAATTTGTGCTCAGGAGAGCACTTGAAATCGTTTCTACTGCTGGCACAACCCGCCCAACGCGCACAGGCGTCGCATAAACCAACAACAACTCGATTAACTTTTAATTGCCTCTCAAATAATAATGAGCAAACAACAAACTCAAACTGGTTCTGAGCGCACAAAAAGGAGCTCAAAGTCAAAGCCAAAGATGCTACGCCATTAATATGAGCATACCTAGCGAATGGGAAAACTAAAATCACTGATCAACCACCAAAGTGAGCAACGCACATGCTTGCGCGCTCTACTTCTTTAGTCTTGCAAGTGGTAGAACTACTTTATACAGTATGATTGCAGCGCCTAGTTTCTTACTCAAACAAACTCGCTTACCTTTCTGACGGCACGGTGGACGCTCGCTCACTGCCACACTCAGCACTCCACTTTGTTAATAATGCATTTTATATGTATGTTGTCTCCGCCGCGCTCTAGCTACTCCGGCCAGCTATTTGGCATTTACTTTTAGTAGTTAATCGACTGCATGCACTTTGAGTAATCAGTTTATGAGTAGAGTTCGTGACGATCGCACATCTTTGCTGTGCACGTCGGCTGGATTACAAAATATCTAAATAGAAAAAAATATAAAAATTATATATATGTATATACAACGGTGTATATATTTACATATAGTTAAGTGCTTACACAAGCAAGCATATAAGCGAAGTATACAAATTTTTTAAAATTAAATTCAAGTGCAAAGTGCTGGCTATAGGCTCTACTCTAAGTATTTATATAAACAAGGTTGGCGAAGGCAAAAAATGAAATTCGACCAACTCAACGAATTTATTTAAACGCTTACAAGTTCGTTTCGTACGGCACAGACAACACTTGGATTACGGGTTTCCGGTTGCGCGGCACAGAAAATAAACAATTCTCAAATAAAAAAATTTACAAAAAATTTATGAAAACAAAAAACAACAATAATGCAGAGCAGAGTGCAAAAGTTTGTAGTGGCACGAAATTAGTGCAGAAAATTGAAAAAAAAAATTTTTTTTAACAAAATAAACACCTAAATTTCGCCTAAAATGCGCAAATTAAAGAAATAACGTTTTTTACGCGACAAACATAAGCGACACCCTAGTAAAGTGTGCGTGTGTGTTCTAATATTTGGTTAGTGTGTGCGTGTTTGTGCGTTAAAGCAAGAGATCACCGAAGAAGCACGCAACAATTCGAAAAATCGAAAATTATTAAGAAAAAAAATTGATATATATCAAAATTCACTTTAATAACCAAAATCAACGCAAAATTCCAAAAACACAATGTCCACAAAAATGACACTTATCTCCAAAACCATACTCTCCGTACTCATCACCGTCATCATACCGGTGCTCGGCGCAGCGCTTAGCAAAACAGTGCTCTACCAAGCGCCCGACGAGTGCCGCTGGTCCGGCACCAGCGAAGCGGACATCACGCTCGTTTGTCATCTGCGCACCATCAACTCCGAGCTGGAGAACACCAACTTCAGCGTTATACAGCCACAGAATACGATACGTCTACGGCTGGAGTGCAATGATGCGCTCTTCTTCCAGAGCAGTCTCAGTCCGGACTCCTTTCGTTCGTTGGTCGAGCTGCGCGCGCTGACTATCGAGTACTGCAAACTCGGCAATATTACGGAAGGTTCATTTCGTGGTTTGCAGGATTTGCGTAATCTCACCATACGCACGCATAACGGTGACTGGTCAACCATGTCGCTGGATATAGCGAGCAGCAGTTTTAGCGAATTTCGCCAACTCGATCGTTTGGATTTGAGTTTGAATAATATCTGGCTCATACCGGATGGCATGGTGTGCCCGTTGAAGGTTTTGACGCATCTCAACATCTCGCATAATGAAATACAAGACATTGGCAATTTCCACTTTAGCGCCGCGTTGAGCTCACGCAAGTCACGCATATGCGGCACGTCGCTGACGCACATCGATTTGAGCGCTAATAAGATTGCCAATCTGCCATCGGCGATCTTCTCCGGTTTGGGACGCCTGGGTAATTTGAATTTAGCGCGTAATGGCATGAATTTTATAGCTGATCGCGCTTTCGAGGGTTTAGTCTCACTCTCAATTGTCAATCTGTCCGGTAATCGTTTGACCTCGCTGCCGCCAGAACTTTTCGCTGAGGCGAAATATGTAAAGGAGATATACTTGAAAAATAACAGTATTAATGTGCTGGCGCCTGGTCTCTTTAGCGATCTGGCTGATTTGTTGGTGTTGGACTTATCAGCTAATGAGCTAAACTCACAGTGGGTTAATGCCGCCACTTTTGTTGGCTTGAAGCGTTTGGTGTTGCTCGATCTGTCTGCGAATAAAATTAGTAAGCTTGAGGCGAGCATATTTCGTTCGCTCAGCTCGTTGCAAATTTTAAAACTCGAGGAGAACTACATCGATCACATACCAGATGGCGCATTCGCCGATCTCGCCAACTTGCATACGCTCATCTTGTCCAATAACCGCATATCGATGCTGGGACCGCACACATTGCGCGGCCTCTACGGCATACTCGTGCTGAGTCTGGACTACAATGCCATTACAAAAATAGACACGCAAGCTTTGCGCAATTGCTCAAGCATACAAGATCTGCATTTGAATGGCAATAAGCTGAAGACCATACCGGATGCGTTGAGCGCTGTGCCGCTGCTTAAGACGCTCGACATTGGCGAAAATCAAATTAAGAATATCGAAAATACCAGCGTTTCGGCAATGGCCAATTTGTATGGCTTGCGTCTGACAGAGAATAGCATTGAGTTTATACGGCGCGGTGTCTTCGATCGCATGTCATCGCTGCAGATACTAAATTTGTCCGGCAATAAAATCAAAGGCATCGAGGCTGGCGCGCTACACCGCAACACACAGCTGCAGGCCATACGTTTGGATGGCAATCACTTGAAGAGCATCGACGGCTTATTCACCGAATTACCAAATTTGGTATGGCTTAACATTTCGGATAATCGCTTGGAGAAGTTCGATTACTCGCACATACCGACCGGTTTGCAGTGGCTAGATGTGCGTGCTAATCGCATCACGCAGCTGGGCAACTATTTTGAAATCGAAAATGAGCTTAGCCTTAGCACATTCGATGCCAGCTCGAATATGTTGAGTGAAATTACAGCAAGTTCGATACCGAATAGCGTTGAGGTTTTATACTTGAACGATAATTTGATCAGCAAAATACAACCATATACATTCTTTAAGAAACCCAATCTGACGCGCGTCGATCTGATACGCAACCGCCTTACCACGCTGGAGCCGAACGCTTTGCGCCTATCACCCATACCCGACGACAAGGACATACCCGAATTTTACATTGGTCACAATCCATTCGAGTGCGATTGCAATCTAGATTGGCTGCAGAAGGTCAATAGCGAGTCACGCACGCAACCGAAACTCATGGATCTCGATCAGATCTACTGTAAGTTGTCGTATGCGCGCGGTAAGACGCACGTGCCACTAATCGAGGCTAAATCGAATGAATTCCTCTGCAAATACGAGGCGCACTGTTTTGCGTTGTGCCACTGCTGTGACTTCTACGCATGCGATTGCAAAATGGAGTGTCCCGATCGCTGTGCCTGTTATCACGATCAATCGTGGACATCGAATGTCGTGGACTGCTCGCGTTCCGCCTACGATCGCACGCTGCCTTCGCATATACCCATGGATGCCACGCAACTGTATTTGGATGGCAATAACTTCCGTGAACTCTCCAGCCACGCATTTATTGGACGCAAGCGTCTAAAAGTGCTGCATTTGAATCATTCGCGCATAGAAATTGTGCACAATCGTACATTTTATGGCCTCCTCGAGCTCGAAGTGCTGCAGTTGAACCACAATAGTTTGCGTCAACTGAACGGTAATGAGTTTCAGGGTCTCGACAATTTGCAGGAATTGTATTTACAACATAATGCCATCGCTAGTATTGATACATTGACCTTCACGCACCTCTATCACCTGAAAATACTGCGACTCGATCACAATGCGATCACCGAGTTTGCTGTTTGGAACTTCTTGCCCTCGTATCTGAATGAGTTGCATTTGGCTGGCAATCCCTGGTCTTGCAATTGTGAGTTTATCGATAAGTTCCGCGACTACGTCAATCGGCGTGAGTCTGTGCAGGATAAGGTGAAGCTGCGTTGTGCACTATTCGCCGGCAGCAATGCGACAACCACTGACAACAATAGTGTAGAGAGCGACCAACAACCGGCTAATGAGCAGTATGCCATCTATTTGAGCGGCGATCCATTGCTGGATGCGCAAACACGCTTTGTCTCCTGCAATGGTGGTCTACAAGCGCCACAGCATCAGTCACCCTTAGGCGCTGGCCACTATAATGGTGCGGATCCAAACGATAATGTGATCATTAACGGCAACATGACCTCAACGAAAATGATACTCTCGCAGCCACCGATGCATGAGTATGTACCAATACTGGTAGCCATACTGACCAGCTTCGTTTTCGTGATTATCTGCACGCTGCTCGTGTTCATCTTCCGTCAGGAGATGCGCGTCTGGTGTCACTCACGTTTTGGCATACGCCTCTTCTGCAATGCGAATCGCGATGTTGACAAGAATGAACGTGAAAAACTCTTCGATGCCTTCATCTCCTACAGCTCAAAAGATGAAGCTTTCGTTTGCGAAGATCTGGCGCCTATGCTGGAACAGGGTGACACGCGCTATAAGCTCTGTTTACATCATCGCGACTTTCCAGTTGGCGGTTATATGGCTGATGCCATTGTGCAAGCTATCGATACCTCAAGACGCACTATTATGGTGCTTTCCGAGAATTTCATAAAATCCGAGTGGTGTCGCTTCGAATTCAAATCGGCGCATCAATCTGTGCTGCGTGATCGACGACGTCGGCTCATACTGATCGTGCTCGGCGAGGTGCCACAAAAGGATATCGATCCGGAGTTGCGTCTCTATTTGAAAACCAACACATACCTGCAGTGGGGTGACAAGCTGTTCTGGGAAAAGCTGCGCTTCGCCTTACCCGACGTGCCGAACAATCAGCGCCGCATGCGCAACGCTGGCGTTGGTGGTTGCACCGGTGTAGGCGTGCACATGCCCATCGCTCAGCTGCCGCCCACACATCATCACCATCAACATCACATGCTGTCAGCAGGCGCCGGTAGTGGCGGTGCTGGCGGCAATATGTCAACCGGCGCTCATCACATGCACCACATGCATCCGCAAGCCGCGTTGCAACATCATCAGCTTCAACATGCCAGTTTCCGCTCACAAATGCATCACAACATCAATGGAAGTCGACAGAATCACAATCGAAACAACTCGGCAGCCGCAGCGGCTGCTGCGCAGCAACAACAACACCAGCAAGCAGCCATGCTAATGGGTGCGCCAATGCAATGCGCACAATTGCCGTTGCCGTCACAACAGTCACAACAGCTGCTGCCGACAGCAGCAAGCGCAAGCGCGCCACCTAGCAGTATACAACAGCAGCAATTGCCGCCACCGCCATGCCCCAGTCCGCGCAGCATAACGACGCAGTCATCGGCGGCGGGTGGTAGCTCGCAGAGTTCCGGTCGTACAATGGGCGTGCATATCTAAGAGTTGTGCGCTTCAGGCGCTGGCAGCTGTAGCAGTGGTGTCCAAGGTATAAGTGAATGCGCGTGTGTGTGTGTGTTTGTAAAACCACTGTTGGTTTAGTGGGTGTGGTGGTGGTGTGTGCTAAAAGTGACGCAAAAATGTTTGCGCTGAGTGCTTCCATTAGGCTGGACGCAGCTCTGTGTTGCTAATGGTGTGTGAAATTTATTAATTTGCGCTGGCTAGCGATCTGCAAGTTTTCGTAATTAAAGTTTTGTTGCGATCATCAACTTTTCCACAGCGTTGCATATAAATTTGTTCAAACACTTCTTCGAATATCAGTTATTCATATATATCGAGCTTAGTTGCCGGTTCAAAATCATTTGCGCTTCGTTTTTCTGGTTATCAGCTAAACTCTGGATCTTGCCGATCGTCATATTTACATATTACCACCGCGATTACTTGCTCATAACATTCACTAATATGCCTCTACTCTCATCTGAATACAACTTCATTGCTGTCTACATTTTCGCCTTTCACATTTTGAAATTTCCATTCAGCAGCGATTTGTAGGCATTTTCTGAATTCAGGTCAAACAAATCGCCGAAACAAAAGTTACCAGCTATGTGTGTATGCGTTGAAAGGCTGCATTTTTGGCAGTGAATAGGAAAACAACGCAGCGCTGCATGCAACACTTGCACATAATACAAAAATGCATACAAATACATATTGAAAATCTATTTTTTTTTACAAACGCAAACGTATTCGCTATTGTATTAAACACGAAAAAGCAACAAAAAAAGCAAAAGCAGCACTCGTCAATAGTCGAAATTCGATTTGGCATTGAACATTTACTTCGTGCCTTTTGGCACATATTTTTTTGCTATGCTTTGTGCTATTGTTTGTATGTATGTGTGCAGCGTTGCATGCCATTTTTTATTGTTGTTGTTAATCGATTTTTTTGAGCATTATGTTGCAACGAAAGCAGTTAGTCACGTTAAAGTTGTCGCCTGTTGCGTTGCTGACTGCGTGATCGGCGAAGCGCAGCTAGCGACTAGGCGATTAAATCAAACGACAGTTTTTTAGACTAAAATAACGGTATTTTTGAATGTTTGTTTGGAATTTTCGGTATTCATTGCACTAAATTGTGTTTAAAGTTATTTTGTTTTTGTTGCAAGTTTTTTTCACAAGATTATGAAAATACAATATTTTAACTAAAATTTAATTTAAAATTTTTCAATTTCGAACAATATTTTTCTAAGTTTCTGTAATTTTTTGCTTGTTTCATTTGCGTTAATTTCGTTAACTGGCGCCTTGAACCTCGCTGCCCAATTAAAAACCCATTCAAATCGACTACCTCCACAAGCTTTTTCACTTGAGCGCAACAAAAATTTTATAGCAGCTTGTTTGCTCGCATTTCGAACGCTTTACTTCAACCAAAACAAAAAACGCAACAATTGTTAGTTGCATTGAAGTAACGAGGCAAAAAGTTCAAAAACGCTTACAAAAACAAAAAAAAGGTCCAAAAACCGAAACGAAGAACCGAAGCGCTAACAAAATTGCGCATATATTTTGCAAGACCGCTACAACAACAAATCGGTAAAACAAGCTAACCGCATTAATATTATGTTGGCCATGGCAATGTTGCCACAAACAAGTTGCAGCACTCAACGTCGATACGTAATGCGATGATTGTGAATGTTATGCATAGTAGTTGTTAGTGGCATTGTTGTTGTTGTTCATTATGCACGTTTTACATTGCAAAGCAGTGTGCTTTAGTTGTTGTTGTTGTTTTATATCAAGTTGTTTTTCCTACTCACTGGCCATTATGAGTTTCCTGTGCGCCAAAGCGTACAGAAAATTGATGTTGCATGCAACAATCATAAAAAGGCACAGAAAAAAATAAAATAAAAAACACTAACAACAACTAAACAGCGAACAGAAAAGTTCAATGCAAAATTGCGGCTATAAGTAATAAGAGAAATACGAACAAAAGCCAGACCAAGAAATTAAGTGGACGCAAAAACCCAAGTTGACTACATAAAAACCGTGCAGACGACTGTGGCCGGTTACAGAGAATGGCATAATAAAGTAAAAACAAAAACAACAACAACAAACGGTAACAAAACGGACACACACAAAATAACTACGAAACAATGCTGAAATGGTAGACAAGTTAGGCGATCGATAAAATGTTCGAGAGAGACAGATAGAGAGCGTCGAAGATCAAACGAGCAAACTCACGCGTCCGATCGTCAGTTGGTCGCTTAGACAGTAGACAGGCCAACAGACAGCCAGCTGCAAATGAATGACGACACAAAAGCGGCGCAGAGTTGCCTAGGTAGTAAAAGAAGCGGCCAAGTGGATCGCCAGACATGCACTTGGTCGATCGACGATCCACGGCGACAAACAGGCAGATCGTTTCTTTAGCTACAACACTTGATACCACGCTATAGTTTGCTGTTGGGAGATCAGGCAGAGATGAGGCTAAGAATAAGTGTATGAAGCAAAGTGTAAAGCAGACGTACACAGGCTGTGCAGAAGGCGAAAGTAGGTGCCACAAGGCAGATGAACTGGCAACAAATAGGGGAAAAGACAAAAAAAACAAACAAGCAGCTATAAACATACAGTAAGAGCGTATGTTTAGTGAGTTAAAAACAAGCCAAAACAGTTACTAAACAAAACTCTACAGGGTACGACGCAACGACAATAAGTCAAACGTAGAGCGCGTCAGAGCGACTGATCGATACGTTGTTGATGGGTAGCGGGCAAAACAAATGTGACTGGCATATATCGGTTATTGGCTCACTAACCGACGACCGACCTTATGACGGAATGACAAACTGCGCGTCAAGCGCATTGCTGACTGGCGTTTATATCGTTGCATGATTATAATATAATTTCATACCTTGTTGCTTATGGCATGGCCCGCTCAACGCGTCATGCAAACATGCGACTGAGGCATGAAGTGCACGAAAGCGAAACAACTGCAGGGCATTATTACATGTTTTAGAAAAAAGCAGTAATTTAGTAAAAAACTGAATGACAGCAAGAATAAAAATATTAGGATTTGACTATTTTTTTAGCACTCAGCTTCAATACAGGCATTATTGTGTGAAAGCTTTGCTAAATTAGAGTGAAAGCTCCAAAGTAATGGGAAAAGTTGAAGTAATCTTTGCTAAGTTTGAGTAAAGCTCCAGAATAACAAGCCAATTGAATGAAAGCTTTACCAAATTTGCGTAAACGCTACAGAATACTAGACATTTTAAAAATAAACACTTTCTAAATTTGATTGAAAGCTCCAGAAAAAAGAAAAAAGCTGCCAAAGAACTTACATACATATATGCTCTTAGAAAAAGCGCACATTAGCATAAATTTCGTTTAAAAAATTTAATAAAAGCTCTACAGTTTTACATGAAAGTCAGATTTAAAAGTCTGAAATATTTTTTTTATTTTTTTTGTAATAATTTATGTAATTTCACCACAAAAGTTACGCTAAAACTGTTTAAATGCTCTTCAAAACTGAATGAAAACCTTCTTAAATTCAAGTGAAAGCGCCAGAATACTTAGAAAAGCTGTCAAAAGCGTTTAAGCTTGTCGTGAAAGCTCTAACTACCAATAAATCGTAAATCAGCCACCAGCTAGCTATCTTTTAGAAAAATTTCATAAAAAGAAATGTATGAAAGCTTTCTAATGTTGCGTGAAAGTCACATTTCAAGTTCTGAAATACTTTTTTTTATTTTTGTAATAATTTTAATCATTTCACCACAAAAAAAATACGAATAAACACAATGCATTCCATATTTTTTATGTAAAACAGCAGTATCACCCGTTCACACATTGCACTCACCTCATCAACAGCAAAATAATTGCATTTATTGTTATAAATAATTTAAAAAATAGTTTTAGTTGATAAATTAATTTGAATATCTTATATTATAAGTTTAGTTTGTAGCAACAAAAACCTTGTGATATGTATGTAAAGAAATAAAAATATTATATAGGCATATTTAAATTGTAAAATACGACAAACAAAAGAAGAAGCAGCAACTACTATTAGTTCTAAGAAAAAAATGGTGTGAAACCGCTTAGCTTTTAAGCAAACCAGCATACTACGTCCTACAATTTAATTTAATTTTAAAACGAAAAAATGTAGAAAATATTTTAATGTAAAAAATATAAGCAAAACTATACAAAATAACGGTAAAAATAATTTGAAAAAAATAAAACAAAAATTTTGTAACCAAAAGTCATTAACAATACTGTAAATATTCGAAGTAATCGAGCATTGAACATGTAAAACCGTCCGCCTGAAAAGCACGGCGTTGCATTTGCGCCAACACTATTTACTGTTAAATTGTAAATATTATTTAGTCTCAGTTGTAATAAAATTGTAAGCAAATAGCGAGAACAAAAGCAAAACGCAAATATTTTCTACCACTGCTAACACCTTTTTCCTGCTACTTCAGCTCCTTCCGCTTCCACAACACAAATTCTTAGGCGTACTTAAGCGGCGAAAGCTTTTCCTCTAAAGCAAAATACATGCATACACGCATAACAGCATTCATATGTAGCATATAAATCTTTATATGCATATAAGTATGTATGTATGTGGTATGCTTTGTAGAGGAAAAGCCAACGCTGCAGGCCATATTATATAATAAATAATAAACCACAACAATAAATACAACAACCAACAGACTGTGAGGTAGAAATGTAAGCTGTGCACAGTTAGATGCAATAAAATAATATTATATAAGACAATAAAGCTATGTTTGTCTATTGCTTAGTGCGCAGCGCCTGTGGCTTGCATGCGCACTCAGCCTTAGGCATTTAAAGTAAAACAAAGTTTATGTGTGTATACGTTGTATTTCCGACAACAAGCGAGCATCCTCCGAAACGTATGTTGACTGACTGATTACTTTAGTAAGCGGCAATTTTTGTATAGACAAATAAATTGGTAATAACAATAAAGCAAATGACAGTTAAGAGCGCTTAACTTTGTAAACTAAAAACTAGGCTGTAATAATTTAAAAATATAAATAAAAAATATTGTATTTTTGTAAATATAATAAATATAAGCCATTTTATAGTATTGAAAATAAAAAACGAAATATCAAAAGAATATGAAAACTCTTTTATTTTAACTGTTTTAAGAAGGTATTATTAAGAAAAGTTTTTTTTTCAGCTTAAAATAAAATGAAAAAACTCTCTGAAAGACAATATTGTTCAGAAAAATTATGTAACTCAAAAAAAGTGTTAAATTCAAAAAAGAAAAACAATTTTTAAAAGAAACAAAACCACTTTTTTCAGTTAATTAATAAAAACTTTATACTGGTTTAGAAAAGTAATATTATATAATATAATTAAATTTGGAAAAAATATATTTTTTAGAAGGAACGAAAGTTTTTTTAAATTAAAACAAAAATTTATCAGAAATAATAAATAATTTTTTTTTGTTTAAGCAAGTAAACTTTTTTAGAGGCAAATTCAAAAAGGAACATATTTTTAGGTTAAACAATAAATTTTTTTAACAAACAATTAATATAAATACTTTTTCTGTTAAAAAAAAATAATAATAATAAATTTTAAACTTAAAAAAATTCTGGTTTAAAAAAAAATTAATTACTGATTTAAATAAAAATTATTTTTTAAAAAGAACGAAACATTTTTAAAATTTAGTTAAAAATTTATTAGTAAAATAAAAAAAAATTGTTTAAATAAATTTTCAGAAAATAAATTTTTTAGAAATTAAAATTAATATTTTTATTTTGTTTAAGTAAACAAACGTTTTAGTAGCAACAAAACATTTTTTTAACAGGAATATAATAGACATATATAATATTTTTTTTTTGGTCTATAATTCATTGTAAATGTTTTTGGAGGAAAATATTAAACTATGAGGAAATTAAATCGGTAGGTTAGGTTTTATATACGCATAGACCTACTGGTCCTTAGTAATGTCATATAGAGCTTCAGTTTAATTTGAGGTGAAGTATTCGTCATACAGGACGTCAACGCATTTTGTGAACTTTAGGAGCGATATCTAACTTGATATCTAGTTTTGATACCTTATAATAATATTTCGAATTTTTTAATAGCAAGTAACATAAAATTAAAATCATAAAAAATAATTCAGAAAAATTTCAACTCATTATAAACAACATCATACTCTCAAGTTAGAATTATTAGTTGACTATTTTGATCAGAGAAGGCCACTAAAATATATAAAATTTATATGATACACAAAAATAAAGTAATTAAGTAAGTATTAAATTCCTATTTTACAGATTGGGCATTTTTATTAACCGAAATAATATCAGTTTTCTTAAGAAACAGCTTTTCTTCAAACCAATAAAAACAGCTGGCTATCAAAAGCAAAACCATCTAAGCGTTGACAAATGAATGAGTACCAAATGTAGCTAAGGGCGACTCAAACGTTTATTTAGGTATTTGTCATACAAAAAATTTTAAAATTTTAAACTTATCTTTTTTAAACTCATAAATAAGTTATGCGCTCATCGATTATAAGAATATTAAAAAAAAAAATTTTATTAAATTTTTTAATTTTTTATTTAAAATTTTTTACCACTTATTAAGAAATTTCCATTACTTTTTTATAAAAACATACATACTTGTATATGGTATTTTGCAGTCAACATGCTACTAGAAAGCAAAAAATTAGGAATCTGTCAATATTTCCTGCAGTTATGCTTACTCTATTATTACTATAATTATTTAATTTGTTGCTAATTTTGTGTATTAGTTTTCCCTCATGTAAGCTAAGTGCTACTGTAAGTTTAGCTTACGAAGTCCAAATAGTAATTTGATTTAATCTTTCTGATTTTGGATATAGATATATATATACCGTATACATATAAGCTAACTGTCAATTATTGAAATTATAGTAAAAATACTAAATACCTAGAATCAACAAAGCCTAAGTCGTTGAACTTGCTGTCTTTTTTTTATAACTTAACTTTAATAGTTTGTTAGTTAGTGGTAAGCATAAGACTAACGAGTATTAGAAGGTAGTAACAAAAACAAAAGAAGCAGATAAAAAAAAAATAAATAAAATATTAAAATTCATCATTGAACGAAACAAGATTTCGCAGAAA